AAAATTGTTCATTAGAAGGGGGTGTCCCAATACTTTTGGCAATATAGTGTGCAAGCCAGCCTAGCTATTCAAAATCTTTGTCTGCAATTTAATAATATTGACCTATTACTTTTGCTATTGCTTTTGACCATTAGATATGAGTAATATAATTCATGCAGAACCTGTTTTATGGACTTATACTTTCTGTAGTACCACACTATTCTGCTGACATGGAATGAGTTTGACTACTTAATCAGTTATATTAATAGAAATGCTTCACTGGGGCAAACACAAAAATCCGAAAATAATAAATAGGATACCCCATAGCAGCATTTCCAGCAGTATCCAACATTTCTCAATCATGATCTTACTCAGCTAAATGTGACTGTATTCCTTGTTTGCTATCTACCTATGCACACACAGCATACAATGTTAAACATTTTCTACATTATGAACCTTAACCCAAAAACCTTTAGCTTCATACACTGTAGATAATTGTGACCCTGCCTGTGGAAACCCAGCTAAAGTATTTTTTTTAAACAGTGGATGAGAAATTCACTCATTGATTTGATTAATAAAAGCCTCCTTCGAGATCGTTTTGACCGACATGTTTATTGCGCATTATTTTCTCATCTGAATTGTCTCCACAGTCGTCCTCGCCGTCACACATCCAGCCCAGCGGCTTACACAGAGTGTTATTACACTGAAACTCATCCAGAGGGCAGAATCGACCCACTACACACACACACACACACACACACACACACACAGAGAGAAAGAGGGTAACTCATCTGTATTCATTCCAGCACAGCCGCACAGCAATTATTGTGAATGTCTGTGTGTGTGTGTGTGTGTGTGTGTGTGTGTGTGTGTGTGTGTGTGTGTGTGTGTGTGTGTGTGTGTGTGTGTGTGTGTGTGTGTGTGTGTGTGTGTGTGTGTGTGTAAAACACTTGGCAGCGCATCTTCAGAAAGACCTCCTTGAATACTAAAACCCTCTCCAGAGAGTCTGATGACTCTAATTAATACTGCAGGCACTGATTTACGGGAAATGCTGTTGTTTAAAGGAACAGTTCAACCATAAATAGAAATTCTGTCATTAATTACTTAACCCATACCAAAAGTACCATAAACCTAGCCCATACAACTTATGCCCTACATTTCAAATTGAAAGTTAACCACTTCACCTTGTGTTAACTACACATATGTATGTAGATAGAATCTAGACAAGAATGCGGGCTAAGATTAGCAAAATGTTGACTTTTTTGTCTGTTCCTCACACAAAGCTATTTTGTATGACTTTAGAAGATATGTAATATAGTGCACAAATCGTATGGACTTCTTTTATGGATATGTGGTCACTATAAATTATAATTAGAAAAGAGCTATAAGAAGATTCTTCAAAAATTGTCTAAAGCAAACAAAGTGAAAGGAATTGTTCACCCAAACAAGGAAACTTGCTTAAAATGTACTCAGCCTCAGACCATCCAAGATGTAGATAAGTTTGTTTCTTCATCAGAACAGATTTGAAGAATTTTGCCATTGGATGCTTTACAGTGAATGGGTGCCGTCAGAATGAGAGTCCAAACAGCTGATAAAAACATCACAATAATCCACAAGTAATCCACAGCACTCCAGTCCATCAGTTAACATCTGGAGAAGTGAAAAGCTGCATGTTTGTAAGAAACAAATTCATCATTAAGATGTTTTTAACTTTAAACCACTGTCTAAAATACCACTGTGTCTGGCTAAAATACAAGTCCTCTCTCCATAATATTGCTTTCTCCAGTGAAATATTGTCTTGTCTGAACCAGGAGAGAAATATGCACAGATCAAGCACCGTTTACAAACAAAAACATCCCAAAACAGTTCTAAACAAATTTGTTGAGAAAGCAATATTATGAATTATGGACTTATATTTTGGCAAAAATTTTGGCCTAAATGCCTTAATGATGGATTTATTTCATACAAGCAGCTTTTCACTTCTCAAGACATTAACTGATGGACTGGAGTGGTGTGGATTACTTGTGGATTATTGTGATGTTTTTTTATCAGCTGATTGGACTCTCATTCTGACGGCACCCATTCACTGCAGAGCATCCATTGCTGAGCAAAGTCATTTAATGCTAAATTTCTCCAAATCTGATGAAGAAACAAACTCATCTTGGATGGCCTGAAGGTGAGTATATTTTCAGCAAATTTAAATTTTGGGGTGAACTATTGCTTTAATAATGACAGGTTCAGTTTTAGGTAACTATGGGCCCTATTATACACCCGGTGCAATGCAGCGCCAGGCGCGACGCAAGTGTTTTTTGCTAGTTTCAGCCCGACACAGTTAGCATTTTCACGTCCTGCACCACGTTGTTCAAATACATTTGCGCCCATTTGTGCGCTCATGGGTGTGCTGGTCTGAAAACGAGGTGTGTACAGGCGCATTGCTGGCGTGTTGCTATTTTGAGGCAACTGAAATAGACTGCGCCATTGACCAACTAATAGTTCTTTTGTTATTTATAGAGTGCGTTAGTATAGGAGGGTCCACAGCGCACGTACACTCTGCTCATTACACACACAGGGACGCACAACAGCACAAAACATGCCAAATATTAAAATAGAAAGGATTGCAATGTAAAAGATTACTATTGTGTAGGCTACATAAATATAAAAATGCCTACATGTCATAATGGATTAACAATGGATTGCATTGCATGTATCAGAATTAGGCTACCTATTTGCTCGCGCATGAGCAGCTCCGTTTCATCTCTGGAGACGCGTTCTGTCTTTGCGCTTGCAAATTCCGCCATGTAAATAGCAAATCCGCCATGGCACGAGCGCAACAGGCTCTTAATGGGAATGGGAGATGAGACTCTGATTGGTTTATTGCACGTTATGGCCAAAACACACCCATTACTCATTAAGAGAATAGGGCCAACCCTTTTAGACCATTTTCCCGTCGTTAAACCAGCATAAGTGGATTTGGACACGCCCTAAGTGCACCTGCGCCGTGCGCTTTAGACCTTGCGCTTAGATCGTTAAAATAGGGCCCTATGTCTTTAAGAAGTGTGTTTTTAACCTCCAATGGCGCAGTTCTCCTCGTCACTGCCATCCATGCAGTCGGCATCAGCGTCACACCTCCAGCGGAATGGGATGCAGTGACCGTTCTTACACTGAAACTGGTCGTTATCACACTTCACGTCACAGCCATGCTGCAAAATACACACACACAGTACATACTGCAATGAGTATTTGCCATTTATGAGGGTCATCATTGATGAAAATTCTGCTGAAGTGGGTGTTTTCCTGAAGCAGGTGTGAATGAGTGGTTTTGTGACTTGCCTCGTCAGATCCGTCAGTGCAGTCATGATCTCCATCACACTTCCATCTGCCAGCAATACAGCGGCCGCTGGTGCAGGCAAACTCACTCTCAGAGCACTGCCTGGGCACTGACACAGACACAAAACACACATATTATTCACATTCATATTTTAGAATACAGTAGGGTGAATCTTACAAAACCAGTCAAAAACATGTCCAGGTCACATTTCACTACACAATCAAAATAAATAAATTATATTTATATTTAGCATGAAGTTAATAAAACATGATAGATTTTTTTTTTTTTTACATCATGCCATTTGTATCTATCTGTCTGTCTGTCTGTCTGTCTGTCTGTCTATCTATCTATCTATCTATCTATCTATCTATCCATCTATCTATCTATCTGTCTGTCTATGTGTCTGTCTATCTATCTATCTGTCTGTCTGTCTATCTATCTGTCTGTCTGTCTGTCTGTGTGTGTGTCTGTCTATCTATCTGTCTGTCCGTCCGTCCGTCCATCCGTCCATCCATCTATCTATCTATCTATCTGTCTGTCTATGTGTCTGTCTATCTATCTATCTGTCTGTCTGTCTATCTATCTGTCTGTCTGTCTGTCTGTGTGTGTGTCTGTCTATCTATCTGTCTGTCCGTCCGTCCGTCCATCCGTCCATCCATCTATCTATCTATCTATCTGTCTGTCTATGTGTCTGTCTATCTATCTATCTGTCTGTCTGTCTATCTATCTGTCTGTCTGTCTGTCTGTGTGTGTGTCTGTCTATCTATCTGTCTGTCCGTCCGTCCGTCCATCCGTCCATCCATCCATCTATCTATCTATCTGTCTGTCTATGTGTCTGTCTATCTATCTATCTGTCTATCTATCTGTCTGTCTGTCTATCTGTCTGTCTGTCTGTCTGTCTGTCTTATCACAATAAAGCACATTGTTATCCCAATTCTCATTTGTAGTACAAAAAAAATCTCATTCTCATCACAGTAATGTATAAATGTGTAAATAACTAAATAAAACATGTTTTATTGAATTTGTAAGTATTCATACACAACTGTTCAAACGTTTGGGGTTAGTAAGATTTTGAAAGTAGTCTCTTTTGCTCACTAAGGCTGCATTTATTTGATCAAAACCAGAGTAAAAGCAATAATGTTGTGAAATATTGTGTATTAATATTGTGATATATTATTTCAATGTAAAATAAGTTTTCTATTATAAATATAATGTAATATATTTTAAAATGTAATTTACTCCTGCAATGCAAAGCTGAATTTTCAGCATCCAATCTTCAGTGTCACATGATCCTTCAGAAATCATTCTAATAACATTTTGTCTTCTTATCAATGTTGATTTCCATATATATATATATATTTGGAAACGATGATATACTTTTATTAAGATTTTTTTTTATAAATAGAAAATTAAAAAAAACTGCATAAAATGCATAAATGTCTTCCTATTCGATTGATTACTTTAATGCATCGTTTCTGAATAAATGTATTAATTTCTTTTTTTTTTTTAAAGTAGTGCACATTATTGTAGAATTTCATGTATAGTTTATAATTTAGGCTCATTAAGTTAAAAATAATTGCCACTGATAATAGCAGGAACTACAAACAAACTCAAAAGTAAAAGTCTGGAAACAATGACAATGAGACGTTTAGGAGGAAAATGTACTTCGTTGTCATTAAAAAATGTTTGACATGGTGCAAAAAAATCTTAATGGCCCTAAAAACAAGCAAAAGTGTCTAAAAACCAAATGTCATGGTAACATGTGGCATGGACATTTTTTTTCTTGACATTCACCCAGAAGAGTCTCATTAGATCATGTCAACTTTAGAAGGAGGGGTTTGTAGGTAATATGATTGTTAAGGGTGTACAGCTCAAACCAGAGGCACAAAGACGGATGGAGGTCTGGGTGTTTGGGAGCAGCAAGCAAAAAAAATCAAATTAAAATTCAATCAATAACTGCTCAAAAACTACAGGAATAGGCTTCACAGTTGCTAGCTGCTGAGCACTGGAAAAGGCTCATTATTAATCATTGACCATCATCATTATATCTTCATTAACCATTTAGTTTCAAAGACTGTCAATGATACTTTCGGTTTTTCATGCATAGTGAAACAAAAAGGACCATTCAAGCCTTCCAGTGTCATCAGCGAGCAGCCATTGAAGCAGAAGTTCAGGACTGAAGTGGACATTTGAAAATGGAAACCTACCTCTAACCCACATCAATGTGGCAGTGTGAAATGAAGAATAAACAAGATGTAGACACGTAAATGATCAGACGAAACAAAAACATGCACAAAGGGGAAATAAAGTTCTCTTGTTCATTAAAGAGTGCTCATGAACAAATAAATGAGAATGACAATGATCAGGTTTTTCGGCTCATTTCAGCAGGGCCTTGCTTTCAGAACGCTCTGTTCCTGCTGTCATTGCTGTGATGTAAGGTGAAGCGTGTCTCTGGATGTGTGTGTGCCTGATATTTGTCCGGACCCGTGCAGTCTCAGCATTCAGATGCTGGAAACCTACCACACTTGTCCTCGTCCGAGTTATCCCCGCAGTCGTTGTCATAGTCACACTGCCAGCGGCCGGGAACACAGCGGTTGTTTTTACAGCGGAACTGATACGGCTCACACGTCCTCTCATCTGCATATACAGTCACAATATTAATGCTCTTTAATTCTTCAGTGGCAGGGTCTAAAATGACTCTAAATTATAGAAACGCTGACATTTTAAAAGTTAAGGGAAAAGTAAAGTTAATCCAAAAATTCTAATTCTCTCATCATTTTACTCACCCTCATGTCATTCCAAACTCATAACAATTTTGTTAATCTTTGATATCAAATTATCAAAAAAATATATTTTTCAACGAAACCCAAGAGGTTTCTGTCCCTCCACTGAAAATCCAGGTAACCCAAACTTAGAAGATTCAAAAAGCTCATAAAGGCATCACAAAGCAAAGTCATATGAATTGAGTGGTTTATTCCACGCGAGATATGATCACTTTATATGATGCACAGATTTAACTTTGGCTTGTGTGCCGCTTTTAAATCATTTTAAAATGTAATTCCTTGCTTTTATTAATGCGATTTTTTGTGATTATTTTAATTACTTTTATGTAAAGCACTTTGAATTACCATTGTGTATGAAATGTACTATATAAATAAACTTGCCTTGCCTTGTGTGTATTAACGTAACAGGTGCATCTCAATAAATTAGAATGTCGTGGAAAAGTTCATTTATTTCAGTAATTCAACTCAAATTGTGAAACTCGTGTATTAAATAAATTCAATGCACACAGACTGAAGTAGTTTAAGTCTTTGGTTCTTTTAATTGTGATGATTTTGGCTGACATTTAACGACAACCCACCAATTCACTATCTCAACAAATTAGAATATGGTGACATGCCAATCAGATAATCAACTCAAAACACCTGCAAAGGTTTCCTGAGCCTTCAAAATGGTCTCTCAGTTTGGTTCACTAGGCTACACAATCATGGGGAAGACTGCTGATCTGACAGTTGTCCAGAAGACAACCATTGACACCCTTCACAAGGAGGGTAAGCCACAAACATTCATTGCCAAAGAAGCTGGCTGTTCACAGAGTGCTGTATCCAAGCATGTTAACAGAAAGTTGAGTGGAAGGAAAAAGTGTGGAAGTCAAAGCATCAAGACTTTTGAGAACATAACCATGCCTGCTTCTATCTGTCAATAGGCTTGACAATGGATAATGTACATTGAATTTTGATTCAGATTTGAATATAATGAGTTTTTAATTTAATTTCAACAATTTCCACTTACTGCAGTTGGCGGGTTCGTCGGATCCATCGACGCAGTCATTATCACGATCACACACCCACACGCGCGGGATACACCGTTTGGTTATAGTGCACTGGAACTGGTTAGGCGCACACGTCACCTCCGCTACACACAAATAAACAGGTTATACTTCAGTCACATAAATATATAGTCTGACCTGTGTAGGGTAAAGCCTAAACCAAACATTTGCGTTTCTAGAGGGGACCTTGGTAGAAATCGCGTTCCGGGCTTTCCGGTGCCCATCAATAGAAATCGCATTCCTCAGGCCCACTCGTGGCACCAACACTGGGACCAAATATTATGGCTCTAGCAGTGGAAACACTCCTGCTCCTCACCTATGCTCAATCCCTTGAAAACCACACCCGTGAGTTTCTCCACCTGGCAAACTCTGTGCACTTCCTGGGCAGGTCCCTAACTGTTTTTTTCTATGTCTTTGAGAGACATTTTGTGCCTTTGTGGAGCTGGCTCTACAGCTGAGTGGATCCTCTTCACCATGGGTAAAGTTGAGGATCCTAACCTTCCAGTATCCGCTTCAGCCCCAGAGCTCATACAAGAGTCTGTTCCAGTCCCTGAATTGAAAATTTTTAATACTGAGCCCGAGGATGAGCACATGCCTGCCACAGACTTTGAGGCTGTGCACACACCTGCCAAGGACCCCAAGCAGCATGAATGACTCACAAGTCCTATCCTCCTCCACCAGGAGCTTCTTCATTAGCTACCATGACTCCCCCTCTTGCTCTTGCTCCGCCGGTTCTCCCCAGTCCTCCAGCTTCACCACAACATATCCTGGCTCCGGAAGGTCTTCAATCCCTTTGGCTCAGCATTGTCCTCAGTCACACCGACTCTACCTTGGTCCTCCGATTCCCCTGGCTCCACCTCTCCTGTTCGAATGTGTTCCCAAGATGGCGGCGCGTGCACACGCTGCGGCTTCTCTCTCTCCTGACAGAACGGTGTTTTTGTGTTTTTTATCTTGTGAGTCGCAGTGTTTTTGTACGTATTCGTCGTGTCTATCTGTCTCTAAGCGCGCATACAGTCATGAGTTTCTGCTCGATGTCAGTAGAACCACATTAGAGCTAAACTCCGCGCAAGCCGAAGAGCTGCATGACCTCGGTCTGCTCCGGAGGCCTACACCATCACCGACCCCCACTGCTGCACCTCACCCACAGCGGAAGCGCCATAAGCAGCACGACGGGAAGCAGAAGAGGGTTAAGCGCAGAGGTATTCGGGCTAGGCTAGCAGCTAACCCACACAAGCCAGCTATCCCCACCATCGTACTGGCTAACGTACACTCTTTGGATAATAAACTGGACTTCATCCGACTACTACGCTTAACTCAGAGGACTGTAAGAGACTGTTGTGTTTTTGTGTTCACGGAAACATGGCTCAGCAACAGCGTTCCGGACTCCGTTATTCAGCTCGATCAGCTAACAAGCTATCAAGCGGACAGAGTTCTCGTCGAGGGAGGTAAGACCCACGGCAGCGGGCTTTGTGTTTACATCAATGATGCGTGGTGCCGCGATGCTGTTGTGGTCTGCAAACACTGCTCACCCCTGGTGGCGTTTATGATTATTAAGTGCCGGCCGTTCTATCTACAGAGGGAATATACAGCCATACTGCTCGTTGCTGTATACATCCCTCCCAGCTCCAACAACAACAACCTGCATACAGACCGCTCATTAAAGTTGCCAAACCAGTTCACAAACAGATACAAGTGTGGCCGGAAGGGTCATGAGAGGCTCTTTAAGACTGTTTTAACACCACTGACTGGAATATGTTTAAGCAGGCTGCCACATACAAAACCACCACAGACCTTCAGGAGTACACAGAGACTGTCTCTGCCGACATCACCAAGTGCATTGATGATATAATGGTCACAAAAACCATCACTGTCCGGGCCAACCAGAAGCCGTGGCTAACAGGGGAGGTCTACAGACTCCTGAAGACGCGGAACGCTGCCTTCAGAACTGGAGATGACAGCAAGGGCCAACCTTTCCCGCGGCATCAGAGAGGCTAAGAGACAGTACTCCAGGAGGTTAGCCCATCATTTCAGCGACAGCAGAGACACTCGGAGCCTGTGGCAGGGGATACAGACCATTACGGACTACAAGCCCCCACCGCGGACCTGTGACAGCACCATCTCCCTGCTGAACGAAATGAACACCTTCTTCGCTCGCTTTGAGGCACAAAACAGCACCACTGCATAGAAGACTCCACCTCCTCCCGGCGACCAGGTGATGACGCTGTCCCCAGACAGCGTGAGGAGATCCCTCAGCAGGATCAATGCACGCAAAGCTCCGGGTCCTGACAACATTCCTGGGCATGTACTGAGAGACTGTGCAGTGGAACTCACTGATGTCTTTATAATGACTACCGTCCAATTGCACTTACCCCCATCCTCATGAAGTGCTTTGAACGGCTAGTCATGCACCACATCAAGTCTGTCCTCCCCCCCTCCCTGGACCCCTTCCAGTTTGCTTATCGGTCCAACCGCTCGACTGATGATGCCATCGCCACTGCCCTCCGCTAAGCACTCACACATCTGGACAAAAAAGACTCATATGTTAGAATGCTGTTCATAGACTTCAGTTCAGCATTCAACACAATCATCCCTCAACAGCTCATTCACAAACTGGTCCAGCTGGGGCTCAACACTTCGCTGTGCAACTGGCTGTTGGACTT